ATATAATTATAGATTAAAAGCCATTTCAAGCTAGATAAAAGATGAGATATTAGACAAGTATCCAAGCATATCCTGTCCTATAAGCAGTTTTGGTTCACAGGAATTGGAATTTTCTGATGAAAAATGTTTCCTTGAGAAATTTTCAACAGGTTCTACTCAAACATGGAAAGAAGCTCATGAATTATTGAGTGGCCTCAGTTCCTGTTGACTGCAGCATATTAGAATGGCTCAGTTCCTCCTAAAATTAGACTCCAAGCATGTAGCTGCTAGTATTTTCTCCCTTTTCATTGAAAAGATATGGTGCTTCTCCTAAACCACAGAGCATGTGAGTGATAAAAATGTGAGATCTGATTTCACATTTCCAAAGCCAAAAGAAATATCAATGATTTGAGGAGAAAACAGAGAGTAGACAGTGCCTAGCTATAGTCCTGCTCCTTGAAAAGCTAGGATTGGGCTTACAAATTTCTGTGAAAGGGTAACATCCTTGACAATGAACAGGAATTGACTGAAGGAACTGAACAGTCTTTCATTTGGCCCAGTTGTTCTTAGTTTTGCAAGAAATAGAAAGGTTATTTTCCAGTAATTTAGAAGAAAACTATCACTTTTAAAGCTGGAATGTGATCCAGGAAAAATTGTTACCATTCATCCTTGATAAACTTCAAGATAAGGCATGTTCAACCTAGTGAAAGGAAAAATGTTTAGCTGCTCTCTTCTGAAGCATTACAGAATGGCACTGTTTCTGTTTTTTCCAGAAATTCACTAACATATATTTCACAAGGACAATTCTGTTGCTTTCATCCAGGATTTTTAAAGCCATAATTTATTCTTAAGAGGTCTGTGAATAAATGTTTATAGATTCTTGGGGTTTTTTTTTCAGTGGACATCACATGTTTTGATCTAAATTACTTACCAGGGGCTTACGTGCTGTTGATTTTGACTGAGTTCTTCACTGATCTTATTGCATACGTAGTACCTATTTACCACCAATACTGACTCTCTGTTGGTACCACTAGTAAAGTAAACAGTGAATTAACCACAGCTAAATCCCCAGTCTTGGAAACTGCAGCAGATGTTTTCCAGTGTGAACAACATACAAATCGGAACCAGACACAATGTGCCTGAGAAACAACAGAAATGTAGAGTCTCCTGGAAGTGATGTGTTGGCTTCTGACACACAATAAATGGCATTAATGTTGATATTGTAAGTAACAGTGCTTCACTGGGTCTTTAAAACTTAATCCTGCAGCCCTGAACAGTATTAAGGTCAGTATAAGACCAAGTTTTAATCCCATCAAAAGATCTGGCCCTGCTATTTAAAAAGGCAATCAGGAACATCTCATCCTTACACACTGTGCATGCTGGAGGCCCATAAGTTAGATACATAGCTCATCCACTGCTGTGGATACATACCATTTCATCTACTCCTTCTATAGAGTATCTTATTTTTCCCATTCTTCAACCCCCCCAACTTGCTGTTGCATTCAAACCTCTCCTTTTGATGTATTTTTTCCTCTCCCCTTCCTATTTTTGGTGAGGTTCTCCCATTGCTCTCACTGGTCTGTGAACGAGGACTGCACGGCAGCAGGTGCGGGGGAGCCAGAGGCTCCAGTGGTGTGCACAGCACTAACAGAGGTTTAAGCTGCCTTCCCCTTTGCTGCACGGTGGGGATGGCTGTGGGAGCTTTGCCTCTTCCTATGCAGCCTGGCAGCATGACAGTTTCATTTTTCAGCTATTTCCTTTCCCTAAAGTCCATATGATTTCCATTCTCAGCTCTTCAATGTCAACTTATTAATCACTCAGCCTCTCGTCTAATACTGGATAAGACTATAAGCCTCTCCCTGCCTGCTTTTCATAAGGCTTCCATGTATCATATTAAGTTTGTAGTATTATTTCCTGACAAAAATGAGCTGAGATAATAGGTAATATTTCATTACCTTTTGTACTTTTTTTTTTTTATTGCACCACATTTTTGTACCAGTGCATACTTTTAGTGAAGTTATTAAAAATAGTGCCCTCTGGTTCTAAGCAGGCCTATTATCTGGTACTGATGAAATAATTTTACATTTGTTTTTCGTGAGAGGAAATCATAGTAAATACTTAACTTTTATTACCTCAGTTTGGCTACACTTTTAAAAGCTAAAAAAAAAGAGATGATAATACTTTCTTTTGCTGGCTGGTTGCTTTGTATAGCCTTCCGGTATGTGGTGCATTGGAAATATCATCCACAACTTCTTGCTAACATGCTGATTAAAATTAAAGTATTCATCTATACTTGAGCTGGGCTGTTGGTAGCTATACACTGGCAGAAGCAAGTAAATCATCCCATTGATTTCTGCAAGAGAAATGATGGTGGGAAAGGCCAATAGTCTATCCAAGTGTAGATGGTTCATTGGTTTAGAGCACTCCAAATGTGTGAGAGCTGTATGGGAAATGCATGCACAGCTAGTGCGAGTCCACAGCAATGCTTGAATTCAAGGGTTTTCATAGGGAGCCATTTGCTACTACAGCTCTATTAATCTGTGTATGAGGAGCAATACGTCTCAGCACATGGTACCTGTATGTTGGGGAAAGAGACAGATCTGTAAGAGGATGTGAAGAAATAGCCAAGAAGTCCTCTGCTGTCTGCTACTGCACTACTTTGGCATCCTGGAGAATACAAAGTGAGATGTCTTGTATTTTATTTTTCACCCAAACAGTAGAATTATCATCAACTCAAAACAGAAATATGGCAAAGTGAATATCATTAATGCGTGTGTGTGGAAAAATGCTGCTGGACTCCATATTTATGACTGTGCTCCCCACCCACTAGTAGCCTCTCTGGAGGGGTTTTTAACATTTCTGTTTCAGTCTATGAAGTGCTTTTGTTTCCTCTCTACTTCTGGTCACTTGGTATGGGAATGTTCTCAGGGAAGAAGGGAACTCTTCCCAAGTTCTTGTTTTTTTTCTGAGTCATGTAGCTGCATTATACAGAAGAGCCAGGATCTCAGGGGGAAATTTTGGGACCGTATGAACATGGCAGTCAAATCCACAGATGCCCTTTATTCTGCCTTTTGGCTATCTTTTATTGAAGAGGCTAATGAATTATTAGACAACTTTCTTGCATGAGCAAGCCAAAGCCAGAATTTAAGCTTATGCATGCATATTTTTCATCCATCCAGAATAGCACAGATCTGAGCTCTTTAATTATTGTAAAGAAGAGACTGTCCCTAGGCAACGGTTCTTATTTCACACTACCTCTTCCAGGAATTTTAGATAGCTTCTGCAACTTGTCACATCTCCTAATAGATGAGATTATGATTCTCTATAGCTCAGCACACAGTGTCCTGGAAGTTTGACCAATTAGGCTTATTCTTCAGCTGGATGAGTCACCCCATACATAGTTTATAACAAATGTTTAAATAGTTGTGTGTAGATGGGTTACAAGAAAATGATGTTAAAATAGCATTATGGTTGAGCCATCCAAACATAAAAGAAATTTCTTTTATTGTTTTACTCCTCCACAGAGAAGCAATGACAACATTTTTTCTAAGCTGACTGGCAGTGATTTATAGACCTTGCCTCCTCCAGACTGTTTATGCCTTTGGAGTGTGTCCCTCTAGGAAGTTTTTGAACTGCAAAGATCTTATTTTGCAGTAACGATGTATACCAAGGTTTCTCAGTCTGGAGGGGAGTGGTGTCTGGTGTTTGCCTTCCATTTTGCATGCTTTGAAAGTAGCCCATGTTACCATGCTTTACCATCTAGTGATGACATTGAGGTGCATTAGAAAAGGTCTGCAAATGTGATGATTCTCTCTATCATGTTCCTTTGTGGGACAACAGGTCTAGCCCTTTGCATTTGAGGTAGGGCTTACTGCTTCTTTTTGCCAGTGATACGCTATGTTACAGCTTTTAAGAACAATCTCGCATATGTGAGTATCATCATTCCCATGAGTTTCTGCCCTTATTTCTATCAGTACTGAAATGAGATCAAATGCTCTTTTGCTTTTCAAGCAGATTATCCATTGAATGAAGTCTTGTTACTTCTGGAGGACAGGGTTTCCAGTGACTCCTTTTGTCTTCCAAGCAGTCCAGATAACACAGAAATCAGCCAGAAGCATTTATAGAGTGCAGAGTGGGTTTCTACCCACTTTCTTGACTGTCACTTAGCTGAAGTTTGTGTTCAAGACATCAGCACCCCACTTAAGAAGAAGAAACAAGCTGGAGAATAGTTGCTGATGGATTTTGTGCTTGATCCAGTCAGACCCATTGAGTGTAGGTAGATCTGTGCTAGCCCTGAGTTTGCCCAGAATTTTGTAGCTCCAAACAGCACTAGAAAAGGTACTGGAGTGGTCTCTCAGCATAGGCTTACAACACAGAGTGTCGTGTTGACACACGCAACTGCCTGTCAGTTACTGGTTTTGCGCAAATGGCGCTCTCTATTACACCAGTAAGTTCACGTGCAACCCGTGTGACCTCTGTTATCGCTAAGTGCCATGGAGCTATTCATTAGTGCCTTTTCAGGGAGACAGTGATTTAATGACCATGAGCTGGGTGATAGTTACCTACCATAGACTTCTCAAGTCTTCCACAGTTCTTTCTTTTCATGGAGCATTTTCTTAAGAAAGTTGAAGTTATCGGTGTTTCAGACTTGGAATAATTAAACGATGTACTTGTCTTTAACAGAACAAGTTGGGAGTGGGTGTATGGGGGAGAAATTGAGATATTTAAGATGTTTTCTTATGAGCAATTTATCTACCTGGAAGAATCATCTGCAAGTATTGATCATTACTTCACTGAAGAACACTGGGAACTTCACTCTTTTTGCTACAAGTTGGCAAGATCCATTTTCAGAGTCACTGGCTGTGTAATCTGTTCCTGTTGAGTATGCAATGACAATATATTTCTTATCATTAGATCAACCCTCTCCTCCCTCCACCCTGAAACTGCTCTGATACATGCAGATCCAGTAACCAGTGGATATAATTATCCACCACACTTTTCATCAGGTTCTTAAAATATAGTGGGACTCATTCAAATGTTTCTGTTATTGAAATGCTCATACTGAAACAATTATTTTCCTCTGACTTAATGTGAAAGACTTAGAACAAAATCAGTTTGTCTCCAGCCACACCCTACAAAACAGACATTGATGCAATAATTGTTCATTATCAAAAACAAGCCAGTATCTGAAACACTTGGCTCCTAATTAAGAAAGATTTTTTCTGGGCCAGGGCCAGGGGTTGATTTGCTGTTGGCAACAGCTTTGCTGAAATGGAAGATGCTTTCCTTGCTTGCACCACTAGAATCTGACCTATTGAATGCTTAGGGTATTCAGCTAGATCTTGTAGTGGCAGGATCCTCATGTGACAGGCATTGCAATTCAGAGGAAAGGAAAGGAAAGGAAAGTCGCGGGCTTGTATGCTTGTGGAGGAAGGTGGGAGCAGGTCTTGATCACTTTCTTTCTGTAGGTAAGATCCGCTGGGATGTGAGCACAAGGTGTCTTGTACAGTGTGGTGCAGAGAGTTGCTGTGTGGCCAAATGACTGCACCGTGAGCATAGCTTTGAGAAACACCTCATTTCCCTGAATGCATACGTTTATCTACCTGCCCACCCTGCCCTTGTTTTTAAAGGGCACATCGCCATTGCAGCTGTGTAGGTGGCAACTATCCCTTGCTCTGCTGCATACACGCACGACCCCAAATGTGGCATTCCTCTCTTTCTTCTCCCCCTTCCCAAACTTCTCTTCCAAGCCATAGTTCCTGCAAAGTTCCCCATAGGATGTTCTGCTTTCACCTCTAGGCTATTGCTTTATGCTGATAGTTCTTCCTCTAACCTCCAAAGGAATGAATCCCAGAAAAATGGCCTGGGGCTTTTCGTTATGCCCATTGAATAGCTAAATAAATTTAAAGATTCCTTTAATTGTTACGTTACCACAGGGCAGGAGTAACTCATAGAGAAAGGACTACTCTGAGTGTGAGCAGGACAATTTTCTGTACTGCTTTTTAATACTAACAACAACAATGTTACCATGGTGACTGCCACATCACATTGGTTATCTGGAAGATGCAGAGTGGCTGCTGAAAGATCCCATTACACTGACTAATGTGAGTGGTGCTCAAGGCAGGGAACACGCTCTAATACACAGAGATTTTTCTCACTTTGGTGATCATTGCTAATGTGGCTGAGATGTTGTTTCCAGGCTGCACAGCATTTGGGTGGGCTGTGTGTTCCAGGGGAACAAGGGACAAAGCAGAGGAAAATCAGAAAGGTGGCAGGCACAGGGGAGCAGTAGCAATAGCATCCAGGCATCTTGTTCCACTGGCACCAGCATCAGAGGTGGTATGGTGTGTTCCTGTTGAGTCTTGCATTCAAAGAGGGGCTTGGATAGGTGTCAGTATGAAGGGGTTGATTTCAGTCTCCAGGGACTGATTTGGAGGCTTATTCACTCCTTCCGGGAGTTCTCAGCTATCATCAAGCCATCTCCTTTCCCAGTGGGCTCCGATGCAGGGGGCATGTTCTTTTTGCAGGGGTGTCACGCAGCCCTCACTTCACCTAACTCTTCTCCAGACAGTGATGGAGTGACTTGTGTCTGGATCTACACTTTGCCTTGTCTTTGGAGGTTGAATATTTTCCACTGCAATGCAGAGGGTCACAGTTTCTCCTTTATCACAAATCCACTGCCCAGCCCTGCCTGGCCTTGCGTCTACTTACATCTGATGCAAAATAGCACCTGCATGGATTCAGACTCTCACTTGTGTGTATGAAAGGAAGTGAGAAATGTTGCTCATCATCTTTCTGCCTGAGCTCAGAAATCATTCTTCTCCTCCTCTGGCTGTAATGGAAGAGAAGAGGATAGGTCATATCTGTCCCAGTTGGTTTCACAGCTTGCATGGAGACAGATTGATGGAGCCATTTGTGGTCGTCAGTGACAATTTGGAGCTGTGAGGATGAACCAAATGTGGACCTGTGGCTCAGCTGCCCAAAACCAGATACTTCTGATCACATCCCCAGGTATGGTACTATAAACGCTGCAAGCTTTCCCCTGTCTGGGTAAAAGTCTGTCATTTTTGTAAGAGTGCCCAGCTAATACCTGGCTTTCTGGTACAGGCTATGTCCCAAAAAGGTAAAGCCAGGAAGAGTTTCCATGTCTACAAAACACACAAGAAAAATATATTTTGATTTATTGATTGATTTAAGTAGAAAGCTGTATATCACTGGCTTAGGGACCACCTAGCAAAGCAAAGGAAAAAAAAAAGACAATATATGAAATGGATCATTCCTTAAAGTGTATTCTTGTTTTATATTCTTTTTTACAGAAACACACACATACACTCTTTTGCAAAGTCAGAAAAACCACCTCAAATATATTTTATTTTTGCCATCTGTGAACATTGACAGAGTAATCAGCTGAAGAGATTTGTTCAGGGTTATTTTTTTCCTTTAATTGATTTTTGGAGAGAAGAAAGTTAATTGCTATGCAGAAAATGTCTAAAAATGGAAGTCACAGAGAATATTCACATGACTAAGGGTTTGTGGGGTAGACCTGCTGAATCTAAATTCTCCAGACCATGATATATTGGAGGAAGAGAGGAGTAACAGAGCAGAAACCTCAATTGACCCTTTGCTTTGGAACAAGATGCTTGAAAAAGATTTTCATAAGCGACTGCATGGAGATACCCATTCTGCTAATTACAAAATGTAACTGAAGTTTCCATTTAGTCTGAGTGATTTCTTACACAGCATCTTCATTGTCAACAACACAATGCCATGTTTCATTCTGGTACCTCTGCCACCCCACAGTAAACCCTATTTGTTGGGTAATTTTCTTGTCAGCATTTGAGGTGGAATGAAATATGCTTAATTCTAGTTTGGCTAATGTAGCAAAAGAGACCAAATGGGATGGAGGAGGAAAGAGTTTTCAGCTGATTGAAGCCATGGCAAAGTTTATTGACTGTCATGAAGTGCATTTTGAGTCTTGTAGCCAAACCACAGAATGCTAAAAAAAAAAAAAATCAGGGAAGTGAAATGGTTCACTCATACATTTTTTTTTTTCCATGTAATGTTTCATTCTCTCTATTTATAAAATAGCACAGGCTGCTGATTGAATATTAAGCAGACCTGAGCTCAGCTCCCTCTTGTTAGTACTTGCAGATGTATTAAGCCTGTTGGGCCAGATCCACAGCTAATGGAACTGGCTTCATGCCTTTGAAGGCATCATAATCAGCTAGATTATTCATTTTTGTTGTTTGTTTTTAAAAGAGTAGCTTTTGTAAGTCATTTGCAGCAATAAAGCTTCACATTTCTAATTTAAAATGGAAAGGCTTTTAATTCTTAAGTTACCCAGGAGACACTTTGCTCGCCAAGTCCTCACTTCGTCCTTGTATGAAGCACCCACATAATAAGAATAAGTTTTTTAGGAGAAATGGGTGTACTGGACCATGAATGCTGCCATATTATTAGCTTTATTTCCTGACCTGTGATGGTAGACATAGGTGCTGAAATGCATGTGAATATGTTGGCCTTCTTGAAGGAACAAACTTCCAATTGACTTTTTTTTTTTTAACCACAAGAGTGCACTGAACAAAGGTGTTTTAGTTTGTGCAAGCTTGACCTTCGATTTCATTTTATCTAAGAAGTCCGTGGGACTGGGGAGTGGTAGGAGAAAGTTATCTTGTGCCCTGGCATATAAAGAGCTTAAATTGTTCTGGGCATTTTTAAATCCAGTCTTCTGTTGTTGATGGCTGATGAGGAAAGTGGTAGTGTCACATGTAAAATCAAAACACAGGAAAGCGATGGGAGAGGCAAATACACAAGAAAATGTGCCTGGAGGAATACCATTTTGTGCCTTACATTAATACTCAAGCCTGAAAGGCTTGCTTTGAAAATTGTCCTGCCTGTGGAAGAAGGTAATTTCATAAAGCAAACAGACCTCAGCTTTTCCCTAGAACCAGCCTGATCCTTGGCCGTGGGATGGTGTAGCTGCTTGGGTGGTTTTGCACACACAGGCCTAGAGAAAGCCAGGCTTTTGGAAACTTAGATGCTTGCAGCTTTGGGTGGACCTTGCTGGAGCATCTGTGAGTATCAGTGGGGAGCAAGCCATGGAGCTGGACCTGAGTGTGCGCCAGGTGCCAAAGAAAGCCAGCAGCAGAGCAAGGAACACAACCTGCATTTCTCAGGTCTGTTGCCATGTGTTAATCCCTGAACCAGTTTTTTCTCAGGGCTCCTAATGCTTTACCTGCACCAAATCCAATGTGAGGGAGGCAGGGAGAAGGGATTATTTTGCATGTATGACACTCTTCAGAGGTTGACTCCTGGCAGGCAAAGGGGAGGCAAGGGGACATTTTATTGATGACTTGATTTATCTTGTGTTCCTGTTAATGCATTTAAAAAGGGCCCTTGATGAGCTGAGGCATCCATTGTCATGTCCCACGTGAAGTGACCAGAGGA